GGTCATATTTACATGGAAGCATCCTCTGGTAGTGTAGGTTCAAGTTTGTTCCAATCATGACCCCCGGGGGTAGGGTGGGGCCACAATGGGTGATCAAAGTTTTACATAGGAATATATAGGAAAATTCTTTAAAAATCTTCTTCTCAAGAACAGCAAAGCCATGATTGGTTATACATGTATTTATATAGAAGCATCCTCAGGTAGTGTAGATTCAAGTTTGTTCTAATCATGACCCCCGGGGGTAGGGTGGGGCCACAATGGGCGATCAAAGTTTTACATAAAATATATAGGAAAAAATTGCAAATATTTTCTTCTCAAGAACAGCAAAGCCATGATTGTTTTTTTTTATGGGTGCATCCTCAGGTAGTGTAGGTTCAAGTTTGTTTAAATCATGACCCCCCAGGGGTAGGGTGGGGCCACAATGGGCAATCAAAGTTTTACATAGGAATACATAGGAAAAAGCAAGCCTTTTAACATCAATTCTCTGTAAGGACCAAAATTTTACTGTAGGGCTGTGGCACACACCATGAGCGATTTTCATGAAACTTTTTCAGGTGATTAACGCCCATACACTATGACATAATCAACATTCAAAATTAAAGTTACTACCTTGGTTGCCATGGTAACGGGCTAATATAGATTTTGTCCCCATTTACTCTCAATTCAAGCATAAAAATGCTATATACTTGATTTCTTGTGGTTTAATCATCTTTATTATTTTTAGATAATTCATATATTATATGCATAGAACAAATGAAGCACTATATAACACAATAAAAAAAATTCTACAAGTCACCTGCAAATTCTTCAACTGATGGCTCAAAGATGACCAAATTCTTACATTTTGAAAATGGTCGTTTTTACCCTATATTTCAAGAAGTCTTTCAAGAAATGCAGGCAATTCAAGAAAAAATCACCTTAAATTTTAGAAACACCATAATAATATTAGTTAACTTTTATGAAAAGTGGAGTGGGGATTTTTTTCGTTTTCGGTATTTTTAAACTTCGAAAATTGGCATTTTGCCAAATAATATTTTGTTCAAAATGTTACCAGACACTGGTTGTTTTATAAAATTTCTTTTCCAAACATTTTTCTTACTAATAAATAAGACAAACGGAATGATTAGTAAATATTATTAAAGATAATAAATAGGATAAAACAAAATTAAATGAATTATTATTGTTTCTCTATGATCCTTTACAAAGGGCAGATAACTCAAAATCTAAAGAAAATTAGCTATTCAACTTTTCACTGGAACTTATTTCAGTAAACAACATTTTCAAATACTAGGTAAAAAATGGAAAAAGATAATGGATTAAAACTCTAATGATACTTTTCAACCAAAAATGATAAATAAATAATAAATTATTACTTTTTCATGCATAGGTAGGTAGATACAGTGTATTAATTTAGCAGATTTGAAATTTGATAAGCTAATGTTAATTTTCTCCTTTTAAATTTTGCTTGTTCCCAGATGCAAATCTTTAGATATCAATTTTATTTGGTTAAAGAAATTTAGAATTATTTAGACTGACCATAAATTAACACCCCATTAAAAATAATACCATTAATGTATAGTCTTACAATCAGAAAACATACACATATTCATGTGAATATGTATAATTTTATCGTTACTTTTAAAAACAGTTTTTTTTTTCAAATTATTAATCAAGCAAGAATCTACATCTAAACATTATCCAAAATGTGTATTTAGAGATAAACAAAATGTAGAAAATAGCTGCTATATAGCAATTTTGTAGACAATAGAAACAGCTAGGCTTGATGTTTCCATGATTTCTCTTTACATCAGAGGTTGACCATTATGTGGTGTTGTGTCTGACCAGTCAAGAAGAATTTTAAATGGGTTTGAAAAGTGATACTTGAAATAATCATCTTCATCTTTTTCCCTGAAAAAAAACCCATACATGTATACTTTAATCAAAATCAATTGTTTAATATCTACTACATTTTTCATGTGATGACAAATACAAGTATATAAGCATATCTATTTTTATCAAAATGTTTATAATACTAAGCTAGTAGTTAATTGCCTCAAAATTCCTGCATGTGTAATTAAAAAAGCAGGCTTTATATCACAGGTGCTTGGGGACGGGACCCCCCCCCCCCTTCCCTCCCCTATAAAAATTCATACTCTCGGATACTAAAAGAGAACTTTTAGTATCAGAGATTATGAATTTTAATAAAAGGTTAGTTTTAGATTATATTTTGGATTTTTGAATTGTAATACTTTGTGAATGTGTCATAGAAATATATTTTATTATAAAAAAGTCGGGGAGAACCCTTGGAGTATGGAACGCGGGGGAGGGGGTCCCATTCCCAAGCACCTGTTCTTCATATTTTATCGCCTTTAACGCAGACACCAATGCACCAATTAATGAATACCTTAAATAAATCATTAATAAATACAATACATGCCGCAGACGTATGTAGCGCTAATTCATGATTACGCCAACCACTCCATACCCAGTGATTGCGCTA